CGATCAAAATGTAGCTTATATCAAATCACGATTATTGCCGGCTAATCCAATACAAAATTGTACCTCCGCAGTTTCCGGCGTGCGCCTGTCAAGCTTTCCATTGCACCGGCTAACGAGACCATAAATCGTCATCAATCGTCGCCAGACGTTTAATCGGGTCAGTGCCGGGTCAGAGCAGATGCAGATTGATAACCGGCCGCGGAGCTGGGCACGCCGTCGACTCCGGCGGTCCGACACCGTCTAATTGCCCTCCGATCACCGGGCGGGCCAGCTGATCAGACCGGGCTCTGTTCATCGAGATTCGATGTCGAACAAATGAGGCCAGATTGGCGGCGCGGCGGCGGCGGCGGCGGCTGGTTCGCCGGGCCCGGATTGGACTGGCTGTCGGCAGAGTGTGCCGCTCCGGTGGGCAGCCGTGTTCTTGGGTCACCGGGTGCCGAGCCCCGCTCCGGAACGAGCGTCCCAGGCCGTTGGTTCACGTCGGATGACAATGGTGCACACTTGTTTCCCGATCAGGCCTGCTGAAAACGAATACCTAATCTATTTCATGGTGCAATTGCGAAAGTATTTAATCTTGCGCAGGCAACAGAGTAGTAGCAATTGGCACTGAAACAGATGAAGTTTAAGAACAATGAAACAGATGTTCATTAATCAATGAATATATCCAGTTCATTAACAATTAGTTAACAGCAATGGAGCTTTAACCCGCGCCCCGCTGGGCTATTCAGCCATACGCGCCCTGCTGGGGGGGGGGGCAGATTCTGCCCCCCCTGTCTAACTTCCGAACCGATGGTCGTAGAAAGACGGGGAAAACGGCAATCGAAAGCTCTCAACAAGGCGGATCTTAAGAGCCCAATTTTTTTTGCTTAAGTAGGTCAGAGGTCAGGTCAAGGTCAGGTCAAGGGTACAAAATGCAAGTTTCTACAGTATCGGCCTTGCACCGTAGTTGCCGAAGAATGGACTGAGACTGATTGCCCAAAACGTGTTCTTAGACTACCAAGACAATATTCGTTGCACACAATGTCATTCAAAGGTCAAGGTCAAGGTCAGGTCAGGTCAGGTCAGGTCACCAAAAACAAAATATAGAAAAGGGCATGTGCGACACATGTTTTATGGGTCATTTTACTCATGGAATTCAATAGGCACACTCAATAAGTGATATGGACCACCTCTAGATAAATTTCAGGTCGAGGTCAGGTCAAGGTCAGGTCAAGTGAGGTCAAATTTTGAAGTTGGTTGTTAAGGCCTAAAAAGGTGTCTATCCGATGCAGTTTTTCACGGCGAATCGAATGGTGCTATTTTTGTTTCCGTACGAGGTCTAGAACTTCCAAAAAAATCATTTTTTCAAAAATTTTGTGTGTCGTGACGTCATAAAATTTTGAATAACTCCCACATTTTTGAACCGATTCTTCTAAAAATTGGTATGTAGGTGCACATAGACCACTTCTTTGACATATATTCCGGTTTTTTCGATAAACTCAAAATTTTGGATTTTATAAATATTTTCCCAAAAAAGTCAGTTTTTTGGAAAAAATTTGGGCCAAAATCCAAAATTTTCAAAAAACCGAGATAGCCATTTGATAGACAAAGTAGAATCACGTATAACCTTTTTTGTTACGTCTTGATTCCTTTAAAAATGAAGATGTTAGCGGCGTTTGAAATTTTGCCGTTTTTGAGGCGAAAATGGCGAACATGACGTCACTAAAACGTCAATTTCTCAAAAATTTTCCGACGGATTTCGCTCAAATTTTCAGGGAACGTGTCAAATTGATGTATGATAAGGTACTGAAAGTTTGGCGTCGCTGGCGTAACGCAGATTGCTGCGTTACGCCAGCGCTGGGGGGGGGGGGGCAGATTCTACGCTGGGGGGGGCAGATTCTGCCCCCCCCCCCCAGCGGGGCGCGGGTTAATAAGAGAATGTTTCCATGATGCAAAATGTTTGTTTTCACTCAAAGACACAAATTTAAATTTTATTTAGAGTCGATTTTCATTTGTATAATGGTGTGTGCGATTTGTATTATAGCTACGGCAACAAGTCTATCAAGTCTGTTTATCCAATGAGCAAACGCAGACGTCCGGAAATGGGCGTATCAATACCTAAGTGATTTTAAATGGAACAAGACCGTCAAATTGGAATACAACCTTAATTAGCGATGGACTTATGAGATAGCATAGTGCTTCATTATTGCCAATTTGCGTATAATGCAAAGCAGGAAGGGTAAGCATTCCTTATGTGCCTGTCCCATAACAAAACAACTGGTGTGGCCCATCCGTCGCTGCTGTCATCTCCCCCTCCCTCTCTCCCCTCTCCCCAACACCACATCCGGAGCGGCTGACCCCGCTAATGGATTCCCCTCCCCTCTCTCCTTCCAGCTCCCATCGACTGTGTTCGTTCCACTCTCCAAGTGAGGATTTGGTTACCGGCGCGGCTGGCATAGCTCTCGGGGAGCCCTCTCACGGCTACCCACATTTTCACAGCTGCATAGACGAAGGCATCAGTAGGGGTGAGCCGGTACCACACATTGGCACACCGCCCTGCAGCCACATGTCTTCAGCAGGGCAATCAGGTGACCGTGGCAGAGGAACATGGTTTGAGGCGAACAAACGGATGCAATGGTTTCCCAATGAGGACCATTATGTTGGAGCTCTTGTGTTGGATTGAGGAAATGCATTCATTTATATTTTATTTTAGGGCTGACAGAATACATAATCGGTCTGAATAAAATAACGGTTTGGGAGAATTATAAAAGTCATCGAACGATAATCATATGAACGCATTCACCCTACAAGACGAGCACAGTCTGCGGTGACATGAGCTCCCCTCCTACTCAGCTGGTCCCAGGGGATGACGAGAGTAGAGAGGGAGAGCGGATGACTGCGGTTGGCGCCGGATGTTGTGCTGATAAGGACCACTGCTCTGCTGTTCCTTTGGTCTGTTGGTCTGCTGGGATCGCAGGACCAGCCACAGCGCCGATATCGCCCCTGAGGCGCCGGCTGACCCGGCGGAACAATGGCAGCGCGGTGCGGCGCGGCGTGGTGCGGCGCGGCGTGGCGTGGCGTGGCGTGGCGTGGCGCGGCGTGGTGCGGTCGATGGGTGCCGACCGCACGCTGTTGCCGCCCCACCCCACCCATCCCCTTCCATCCGGGCCGTCCCGCGGCCATGGGTCGTTAGCCGCGCTGACAACTTGCTGCGGACGCGGGGAGCAAATAACACTCTTCTGGGTAGGCGCAAACCGGCCCGGATAATGGACCGTGCATGGAGCACGAATGGCCGCCGGCGGCGGCGGCGTGCATGGGTGACACGGGGAGGGACGCCGCGGCGCCATCAGTGACGCCGTCGGGTGGACAGTGTAATGTGATGTGCGTAGGATTTCACAGAATGGCGCATAATCCCTGCGATACTCTATTCAAAGAGTGTCCTGACCCTAATCGGCTCAAATTTATATGAGCCATGACATGCTTGCACAAACTCAACTCTTTTAAACCGAAATGCGTAGCTATCAACAGAATGTGCAAAGATTGCGGAATGGTTATATAATGTCTAGCACCTCTTCTTTGGATGGCATTATTCATATCAATGAAGCTGGTTGGGATAATGACACCCTCAAAAACACTGCGTAAGAGTATCGGGTACCACACATTTGGAAAATCTTTTCTGTAGCTGAGAATAGACCTCATATGATGTCGGCAGCCGCGGTAACCGTCCCTCTGCGCACCCCGCTAACGGACGCTGCCTTCCATTTCAGCCAGCCGGCACCCCGCGATGAGCTGCCCGTCCCAATGTCGGCCCATCGATCGCACTTTGATCATGGGCGGCCAATTTCGAGACGTTTCGCCGGCTCACCATGACCGGCGCTACCAAGTGCGGGCGCTACGTGACCCGACTATGGTGGCGCGACTCGAGCAGTCGTCGTCCCCCCGGTAATCCCCTTTATCAGACGGACGGTGTGCTGGCGTGGACTCTAAGTCAGATCAAAGGGGCGACCTCAGTGGCCACGACAGGAGTGTCGCAGTGGGGCAGCGCGGGGGAAGGCAGGGGGTGGTAGAGCGACGGAGGAGTTGGAGGGAGAGGAGCGAGCTGAGAGAGTGGGAGGGAGAGGAGGAGCTGAGAGAGAGAGAGAGAGAGAGAGAGAGAGAGAGAGAGAGAGAGAGAGAGAGAGAGGCAAAGCAAAAGGAAGGGAGGGAGATGACCTAGATCGGCAGAGAGTCCCTGTCACCTAACCAGAAAGTCCTATAGATTTGTCTCTGCTGCAGCCTGCATTAGCTCTAGCTATCTGCATTCTGCAGCCCCGGTCCAAAATTCCGTGCTGCCCATCCCACTCTCTCAGACGAACCGTCGTGGTTTGTTCTGGCCGCCGTATATCATCATTGTGGCGGCTCGCGGCGGTGAAAAGTTCAGCAGTGCCGGCCCACAGCCAGAGCGAACCTCTGGCGCGGGGTGCCGACAAGAAATGAACGTAAGTGCGGAGCCATGAGAGCAGTCTGCTCAGCGCCAACTTGCTCGACGTGCTCCATCCTGTGTACCGTCTGCAAATGGAGCAAGTTGGAAAAATCTGCTTCAGCTGCATTGGCCAAGAGGCGGCTGGGGTGGCGTTAGGTTACTTCACCACGGGTTATTCCGGGTGGAAAAATGAGTGTCACTGACCACACACTGAGGGGAGCGAGCTTCTGGGGTCGGTGGTCGCTGCCAGCCGGCACGTGCCACCACCTGGCTAATAGGGGCCGTAAATTGCAGAGAGCGCACCAACTAGTGGAGTGCTGAAAGGCGATACGGGTCTTCTTCGTTTGAGGAAGACAGCTATGTGAGCTAAGTAAGTTCTTCCTCCTTCAGTAATTACTTCACGTTACTCGTGTGATTAAATATATGTAAAAAGAAGAAGAAGACAATTTCAAGTTTCTTAGAATCATCAGTAATACTTATTCGCAAAAGCATCACACTGCGTGCGTCTAACGTGTGTATTTTGCAGTTGCATGCAATCACACTGCAGTCATGTACTCACTGAGTCGCGATATCTTGTAGACGTTGACCGTGTTGATGACAGAGACAGTCGGGTCGAGCACAAAGTCCAGGCTGGGGTTGCGCTGCTGTTCGCGCATGGCGGCCAACATGGCTGACTGCAGCTGGTCCGTCTCGGTGTCGAAAATCACCCCTGTCGGCAGACGCGGCCACAATGGTCAGCGATGATGGCCCGCCTCTCAGCGCCGCACATACGGCCGCCAAGTGATATTGCTGCCCATTACACACGCCCACTAGATTGAGCGCGGCCGGCGCGGCGCTGCTGGCTCTGCCCGACTCCTCACAGCTCGGAGACCACGGCTGCAGGGAGCGGTCCCCAGACACCGCCCTCACTGTCCGTTATGAACACAACGCGACATGATTCATCAGCGCCGCGCGGCCCGACCGTGCAGCGGCAATATTGTGTCCAGTAAATGTTCGGCCAGTGCTGCGCAAAGGTCACAGAACGCCCCCAGGCCCGCTGAGAGTCGTGGGGAGGCTCAGAGCGCGGTAGCTGTATTTTCGACTCCGGCGCGGCGGCCAGCACTCGGCGATACCACGTCATGGGGCAATGTGTCACTGATAGTGGATTCGCTCAGATAGTGCTGAACTACAAAAGACATAATTTTGGTGGCAGCTGAGTGTGGAAACTCGGGCCGCCGACCAATTATAGCAGCGCTTCATGGTTTAGTGTCGAATGACAGACGGTGCCGTTGATTCGGTACCACAGCTTCTCGTAAACAGGCGGCAGTGAAAGCAAATAGGCCACAACCGACACCATTAGGCAGCTCAATGAGAGCGTTTAATGGAATTTTTTACTATACGTGCACCATAGAATTGACAGGTTTGTGCCGGTAAAAGGTGCCAATCAATTAAATATCAGAATACTTTCCTTTGCACCAGAAATTCGAATCTTGTTCAAGATTGTCGTGGTTACATAATTTTTGGGGAAAATAATACTTTCTCCGACCAACATACACTATTCATTGACTTCAAGGTTGTATCAATTTCATCATTATGTTTTATTACGTAAGGAGTGACGACCTACCGGGTGTTCATTAATGAATGGAATAAAGTAGGTAGGCACCAGAAAGATATATTTTCATCTCACGTTATCAAATCACACAATGCATTTTCAAGAGGGTTTATCATTTATGATGACATCATCGCGATTAGAGATGCCCTTTTTGAACCCGCGAACCCGCTTTCTGCGGGTTTTCAAAACCCGCAGGGTTTTTGGCGGGTTTGAGAAGCAAAACTTGTCGTGTGGCGGGTATTTGGCGGTCAGACTTAAGAACCTATAATTTTTTTTTTTTTAGATGCAAAACACAATGCCAAGTGCATTTGCTCAGGTTAACAATACAACATTCATCAAAACAACTTTTAAAACAGAACCAAATATAAAAATATATCAAGGAAGCACATTTCAAATGCAAAACTGAAAACAACCAGCAATAGCATCCACAGTCTGGCAATGACCAAACCAGGGTACAAGCAATAAACTACTAAGCATAAATAAATGCTGATGAAAGCATTCCATAAAACATAAAAGACCCTGAAAGCAAACTTATAGGAAGCTGAACTGAAGTCTATGTGCACTGTGCAGTGTGCACTAGATATACATTATGGAAGAACCCAGACTTAAATGAGATGTTGAAAATCAGAGCAAATGCCACATGTTACTTTATTTGCGTCTGGTCGGCATAAAAAAGAGCTATCAGCTAAACAAAATTTGATGCAAATTCATTGATTACCTATCCTACTCTATGTTCTGTTCCACCCTATATTACGAAAATAACACACCAATCACCCTTACAAAAAATCAAAATATAGACTGGCCGGCCCAAACATAACGCAATACAATACTGGCGCACTTCCGACATTCTGACAAGGATGGGCATTTGACTGCGTCAATTTTGGTCTCTGAGGTGAAGGAAAGCTGTCATTGATGACGCAATAATTTTCAATCAGTTTTTCTGTCTTGGTTTTTGAATGCCTCAAAATAGCAGTTATACATGTTACAAAACCACGTAGCTGGTCGCATTTATTTCTTTTGTCTTTTTACGTCCTTATCATTTGTATGCCGACAGATGACCAGCCGGAGAGCATTACCAAGACCATCTATAAAATCATTACATTTAATTTAGTATTTACTGTCTCTTTATTTCTAAACCGGTGATTAACCTCTAAATTGTAAAACTTTAGCTGTTGTGTAAAATAATTTAATCAGAATGGCACATGAATATGCATTATACAACAGTGTTTTCGCAACAAGTTCGACTAACTACGGCCGCAATAATTTAGTCGCTGTAACATTCCTTCATCAGCTGTTGGTGACGCTTCTGACGCATGTTTCCAGAAATGCGTGGTTCATTGGTGGTTAGTTGCAAGGCCATATATGTTATTATAGTTGGTTTTTGCTGGGATTTTGCATGATTTGTTTTATGTGTAGATCGACTGGATACTCATTATTCACTGTGTCACTATTTATTTTTAACTGGAAATCGCATATCTTTTTATATCAACATTCATTTTGATAACAATATCATTCCAGAGGCCTAACATTGAGAGGGAGCCAGAGTGAAATTTTGATCCTCAGCCAATGCTGAAGGGTAAGGTGAGAGAAAGATTTTACTGAACTCTTCAGAAAGGAATTTCAAATGTATTGATGCATTATTCATTTTCCACTATCCAGTGTGCACTTCCTGAGGACTTAGCATAGCAATTTCAAGTCCTTACTATTTGTTTGGCTGTCTTTTTCTGCACAGCAATGAAGCAAGTAAGGTTTATATAGCTCTAGCATTGACTCAGCTGTATTTTTTTCTTGCAAAAGTATGTTTTTAAGATTGCGGGTTTTTTGCGGGTTCGGCTCAGACAAAATCAGCTTGCGGGTAGTTGTGGTTGGGCAAGGGGTAGCTGCGGGGCGGGGCGGGTAATGAAATTGCAAATTTGGGGCATCTCTAATCGCGATCACCGCTTGCCACTTGTGTCTCCTACAGGAAGTGCTCAAAGTAACACCTTCACTCCGCCACGCACGGCTCTGCCCGGCGCTGTGTGTGCCGGACCATCTTCCTCATCTGCTCCTCGCTTATGTTCTGGCGAAGTCCTCCACGACCTTTTTCAGTTCTTTGATTGTTTCCGGCTCCGATTCTACCACGCGATTCAAAGCTTGGGTCCAGAACGAGAAATCCAGGCAGATACAGATACAGATACAGATGTATTCAAAAGAAATCCATACAATATGGCTTTTCATTCTTCTACGTCAGTTACAATGCGGACACAATGAGGACACATTTACACTAAACACACAAACCCATCATACATACACCAACTGCTCACAGCGCGTCAGCCGATCTCACGAGCCGCCTGACAGTACGGCGGAACCCAGGCTCGCCGGGAACAGCTTGCACACTGTTCAGTAATCTCACTCCCCGAAAACACATTCTCCTCCTTCCAGCTTCGGTACGAATGTTGGGGCATGTGATTAGCCCCGACTGTCGTGTTGCATGGGCATGCCTTTGGTCCGCTCTCGGTCCAATGGTGTTGTACAGGTACTCAGGCTGTCCCGTCTCAATTATACGCGCTAGCGCACACACAGTGTGGTAGGCAGCAAGCTGCTCTGCGTTCAGCCAGCGGAGCTCCTGCAGCGCCCCGCTGACAGGGTCAAAGCGTCGTTTGCCCGTCACGACTCGAACACAAAAGTGAACAACTTTCTGAATCCGGCCGAGCTGGGTCACACCACATGTGCCGTACACGGACAGGCAATATCGCACCACTGACATCGCCAGCGCCTCCACAATCACCTTCAATGTCTGTTTCGGTAGCACGTGACGCGCGTGTGACAGCCCTATCAGAATACCCGTACATTTCCGTGAGATGTATGTCACGTGAGCTTCGAAATTGAGGTGACGGTCGATGTACACACCGAGGTTCTTGACCTCTCTCGAGTCGGTAATCATGTCCCCGCAAAAACGGACAACGACAGGCGGCAGTGTTCGGAGCATTGCAGGCGTTCCTAGCACGATCATCTGTGTCTTTTTAGTGTTTAGTTTCATGCCGTTGTGGCAAAACCAGTCATACACATGACAGAGCGCGTCCTCCATGCTACCGATAAGCCTCTGGATATCGCATTTACGGCCGGACACTAGGAGCTGCGTATCATCGGCGTACTGCACTATTGTGACGTCACTGGGCAGCCTCAGGCTCAAAGGTACTCAGGCTGGGCAGGACAGGTAGGGACTGTATGCGGGCCAGTGCAGATGGGTACCTCCGCGCGAGATGATCCGATCGTTGAACTTCGATCGAGGGAGGCCAATCATGACAGAATCAGGATCTTCCATACCTTTCCAATGGACATTTTAAGCTCTTCGCACGCCTGCCGAGCATGAGCTGTGGCATTTTTCCGGAAGAAATCCTTGACCTTTTCCATTTCACCAGGGGTCATCGGTTGGCGCCCGGAGCGCACACATGGCCGTGTCGCTGCAACCATCCTAAATCTTTCCACCAAACGCTGAAAAGCATTCAGATGTGGTATGTGGTATTGCTGCTGGTTTTCTAGGAGAGAGCTTAAGGCGGAAAGCCCGTCTAACCACGGTAAGACTTTCCAACCCGGCACAGTTCTCCACAACCCAACCCGCTAGTTCATAATTGAACGGCGAGTCTGTCTTGAAGTGCCGATTTGGGCTCTTCGAAACCAGAGCCATTCATAAGCGTTTGGATAACGCTGTGATTAAAGTTATCATGTATTAAAAAATGATAAAGCCTATGTTTCATATTTACAAGGAAAAAAATGCGCTCACGTGATTTATTGTTATCACGTGACGTAGCTACTTTATTACGGAGCGAGCGAAGCGAGCGGAGTCTTTCCTTAGATTAACGGAAATTTCTGAGTATGAGCGGCCGGCCGGCCGGCCGGCCGTGCGGACGCTTTTGCGAGGCTTATATCTCAGCAACCACTTGACCGATTTACATGCGGTAATTTTTGTAGGGTAGCTTCATTCCTTCTACCAAGTATTGGACTATTCCCGATGCATGTGGGTGACCCCTTATGCACGTGCCACGTGCAAAACGAAGAGGTGTCAGTTTTGTAATTGTTGCAATATCTCGGTAACTACTGGGCCGATTATGCTGAAAGTTGGCATGTAGGTAGGCACC